ACTTGAATCTCATACAGCGGTTCGTTCTTGGATCCTCAGACCTGAGATGTCTAGAGTATCTGATATGAGGAGTGTCGTGTCTTGACTGCGTCAAACGTCGTCTTTAACCGGATGATTATAACGGCGTTGATCAGATACGTTCACGAATCATATGGAGATAATAGACATGTGGTTCCTCTTCAGTGAGGTACCGTGACAACTTAAGCTGTGTTAAGAAAAACAACATCTTTTGTTGCCAGCGTTTGAAATTTTGACCCTTAAATTGTTCAGGTCTCTCAGCCGGGCCGATAGGCACAATAGGAATTGCCTGGTTTTCGGAGTTCGCAACAACCGAAGGCATTTCTGGTAGGACAACGTTCGCAACGTTTGGCACTTGATTATTCATATCTGTGCCAACAACATCATGATTAACGGGGTTCGTAACCTCCGCTATATGAGGATTCTCATCGATATCCATAGCAGGAATCTCATTCCCTGGAGCAGTATTTGAATCCATGGGATTTTTTGGATTATCAATGATCTGTTGAATAAATCCAATCATTGTTAGCTTTCACAAAGCTTATAAACTAAACCGAGTTTCACTTAACTTATAAATTGGTTTTGCTCGCTTCTAGTGATAGCCGGAGGGTTCACCCCGATTCCCACGTCCTTACTATGAGGAGGGTATAAAGGGCTTCCTCTTCAAACCCGGCCCGCTAAGACAAAGCTTGCTTCCCCAATTTACAGGAAAAGTTACTTCCGATTTTGTTTAACCTTTTTCTTTTCTTCCAAAAAAGATAAATAATAATATTCCTTTTTTTTCCTCACAAAACACTTTTAAATATATTGGGTTTTCTCTTATGGGCTTTTAGATTAATCTCTTCAAATTGGACCAAGACTAAACTTTTCAATTTGGGCTTACTCTTTTGGGCTTTTCAATTAATCTCTTTGAATTTGGGCTTCAATTTTAAATTTGGGCCTTAAACTCAATTTGGGCTTCACAAAACAACTATTTGGTTTTTTTTTCCAACACTTTTTTTTTAACCTAGTTGGTTTTAGATCCAAATTCGTGTGAGGTTTTATACCGAAATTAAAAGGAGATTTAGGCACTTACACGAGAAGTTTGCCTCGTGTTAACCATATCGAACTTAAGACTGTTGGGGATGGCGGTTGTTGACGACAGCAAAACTCCGGCAATTCGAGCGATTCCAGATAAGTACCTAAAATTAAAAGAATATTTTGTCGAGGCATGTGAAACACAGTTTCCTTAAGTTCGATTTCCGTGCCACCTCTAAAGCTTCGAGGCTATTGGAGCACGGTGAACTCCCAGGATACAACGACCGCGTATTTGGAAGAAGCTTTCCAAATACCGAGCGAACTCAGAGAGAGATATGAGCAAATATGTGAATGCTCTTTTTCTCTAGAATGCTTGTTTCTTTTCTGTGTATTTTATGAGCTAACCCAAGACCCCTATTTATAGTAGAGGGGAGAATCTCAAAATAAATCAATTTGAATTTCAGGAATTCAAATTTGATTTTATCTTGATATTATCTCAATTTTATCTTAATCATATTTGATAGATTTTCTGCGGATTTGAATCAAATTTGAATTTGAATTTGAATTTCAAATTCAAATAAGAATATTCTCTTAATATTCTGCAGATTTAAATTTATACGGACCGGACTTCTCACGGGCTAGGCCCGTTTTGATTCTATCAAATAAACCCAAATCCAACAGGGATGTCATATATGTCACCTCCACACGCTGCATCAATCCAAGACCGAGTAACATCCTTCAATCGGAAGACTGTGTACTTGTATCAAGGTTTGAAAAAAATATTTATAAGATACGTTAAATCAGCTATTTTTTTATATTTTATATTATTAAAATCTAATCTTATATTTACTATTAATTTTTTCAAAAAAAATATATGATATGTTATTTATTTATTACGTAGTATATGACGTGATAACGTGTGGTCGATATCTCACGATCGGACGTTGATGAACACATAAGTTGTCCAAGTTGCCAAGAAATAGTTCCTTTGCACGAGTAAAAAATCGATGTATTTCGATTCAAGATAAATTTATGAGGAAGTGGTATCTCTTTATGATCTAGAATGCATCAATCACGACTTTTATATAGTGTGTTACGATCACCTCATATTGGCAGCTTTGAGTAGACTTTTTTTCGTGCTCACCAAGATAAGGGATTACTTTGTTAAGTCTTTTCAGTAGGGATGGATACAGATCGGATATCCGAAAAAATTAGATATTTAATTATAAGATTTGTATTCGTAATTTTTGGTTTACGAATACATGGGTACGGGTATCCAGAATAATATTCGAGTATTCGTGGATATTCGGATCCGAATTTATTTAAGAAAAAACAACAATATTTATATATAAAATTTTCAAAAAAAATGAAGGTGTATTTATAAAAGTGAATGGATTACTATAAAAATATAAGATAAAGAGAGATAATAAGAGATAAATAATAATAAATTTACTTTTTTTGAGATAATGTTGAAAAATATGAAAATATTTAACTTAAAATAATTAAAAAAAGGGAAAATCCCAAAAAAAACACTGAACTTTGCAATTTTGACAAAAAAACACTGAACTTTTTATTTTATCAAATAAACATTAAATTTTTTAAATTTGACAAAATAAACACTTAACTCTTCTACGATTGTCAAAATAAACAAAATGAATGACGTGACCCAATTAGATGCAAGCACGTCAGATTATTTTACTTAGTTTTTTTTACAATCGGAAAAAGTTCATGTATTTTTTTGGATCACTAAAAAAGTTCAGTGTTTTTTTGATAATCGCAGAAAAGTTTATGTATTTTTTGGATCATTTAAAAAGTTCAGTGTTTTTTTATACTGCTTTAAAAAGTTTAATGTTTATTTGACAAAAACTAAAATTTAGTGTTTTTTTGTCAAAATTGTAAAGTTCAGTATTTTTTTGGGGATTTTCCCTTAAAAAAATCCAAACCTTATACTTTATAGAGTCATTTAACCCAAAAAAAAAAACAAAAAATACAAAACTTATGGAGACAAGGGACACCACCTATTTTTATATAAGTCCGCACTTGATTCAAGTTATCATGTCAATGTTCATGGTTAAATTTAAGCGTGATTTATAAAATTTAGGTTTATTTGAATATTAATATTAAAATTGTGATTTTAAAAGGTAAAAAATAATGTCAATGTTTTATTTATGAAAATTTGGCAAATTTAGATATTAATCTTTAAATTCCCCTTAAAATTTCGTAGTTACCTTTGATATTTTTTTTAAGAATTACGCAATTGTTCGTGATTTATCTCGAAACTATGGAACTATATCTTATGAAATTATCCTTAGTTGTTGGTGTTTTCAAATGTAGTATCCGCCGAACTTGGCCAAGTCATGGTAACAAATATTTGGTGCGAGATGGAATCATTGATACATTTGGGGACTCTCTCTCCATGGATATATATATAGAGTTTAGGTTTAGGGTTTCCAATAAGAAATTTTTTTCTTCTAAACATTAGATGTAAATATAGTGGAAGGTATAATGGACAGGTGAAATTTGGATAATCATAGTTGTAAACACTTTTTTTTATAAGATTGAGTGTCTCAACCGGTAATGAAGGGAACAAAACACCTTTCCAACCTGAATTCGAGTCTTCATTTGGGAAGAGATATTCATATGAGTTTTTTTGGTCTTTTAAGAGATATAATCATGTCAAAGGTACGATGAACTTTTATATTATAAAAAAATATATAATTTTTTGAATCCCGAATTTATTTACCGTTCAAAATCGATATTTTTAATTCACTAAAAATTAATTTTAATTCATATCCCGTACCTTCGACTGAATTAAAATAAATTTAAAATTTTGCGTCTTTATTTTATCGATTAAATTATCTAAATTGGGATTAGACAGATCATATATAGATTCAAATGGTGAGTTTTGATGTTGGAATTTCTTCTTTCTTTTTGGTAAGTGGTAAGTTATGGTCTCTTCTTCCATTTTTTTAAATCACGAACTTTAAAAAAAATCTAACATAAATAATCAAACTATAATTTTTTTATAAAAATATAGAAATTCTTAATAACTTTTATAATATACCTTAAACATTTAAAATAATTGAAAATTTTAAAATTTGATTTTCTGACAGTTTTTTAAATCATTTAAAAATTGAAGATTTAATTTCATTATTTTTTAAGAAAATTAGGGTTAAATATAAAATTTAGTAAAAAGTCATATTTATTTGAAGTTTTAAAATTGTGTATTATAACCCTAGCCTTTTTTTTTTTACAAATTCGTGTATTTTTTTAATAATAATATCTAGTCGAATTGGTTCGGGTTCATATGTATCCACAAAATACGCGAGATTCGAAATTCAAATACCTTTGATCGGAATCCAATTTTGAAACCTAAAAATTTGAATCACAAATGAATTCTATATCTACTTTGTACGAATCGATCTTGGTAGTTTAGTTTGTGATTTAACAGATAAAAACAAATGTACATAAACACTTGCTGTAGATTGAGAAGTTAACCACCAAATTAAGAAACGATTTCTCTCTTCTTTCTGTATTTTCTCGCCTCCCAAACGCTGCCGACTGAAAATTTAACAAATGGCGTTGTAAATTCAATTAGCTATTAGATGTTTATGGATTACGGTGTGATTAGTTATATCATTTATCACGTAAATAAAAATAAATCATTTAAAGCAAATGTAAAATATGAATATTATATGAGAAAATCCGCAGCCCATTCTCTTTCTTCATTTCTTTGTTTCCATAGAGAAAAAAATAACATCTGGAAATTTTGCTTACATCTTCGAAGATATGAGATATAGATCCCAACATATATATATATATATATATATATATATATATATGTTGGGATCTATATCTCATAGGGAAAGCTCCAATTCAGGGTTTTTAAAATCCTCCATGGCAACCTGGAGTCTCTCCCTCAGCCATATCTCAAGATTCACATGGAAAAGGGAAGGCTACAACACAAAAAAGAAAATCGATGACATTAGTTAGTTTCACAAAAATAATTCAATAACTTCAGATATCTTTTTTATAAAAGAAAAATGTTATACATACGACCGACCAGCACGCATATTGGACAACCAAAACTAGGTACCAGTAAGACCAAACATTATTAGCGGCAAGAATCATATATTCTAAAATTTCATGATGTATAGTACTAATCCAAAGGCTGTAATATATACACGCATCGATTCAACAACGAAAATGGCCGTATGCTATTAGTGTTCGAGATCAATCAGAGAAAAATCTAAATCATTATTCATAACCTATCTTGTTTAGGGTGGTCAAAATTATCCAAAAAAATCCGGGATATATTCGTGGATACCCGATTTTAGGGTACTCACCTTCATTAAAATCTGAATCAAAATATGAATTCGAGAATACTCCCAAATTCAAATCGGACCGGATAATAAATTTTTTTAAAATCGGGTATCCCTAGATATCAGATTAGTTTTGTTATAATTAATTATATCTTATATCTTTATAATATTTTTATAAAATAATTGTTTTGGATTAAATGATTTGTCATTTATCGACACTATCTTAAAAGATTAAACTTATTATTATTTCTCTCACAAATTCTATATTTCTCATATTTTGACCATTATTCATCCCTTTTTATAATAACATACACCTTCATTTTTTAGGGGTAATCGCATAAAAATACCCGAACTATAAAATTGTCATATAAATACCTAAACTTTTCACAACTCCCACATAAATACCCAGACTTTTAAATTTTTTCCAAATCAAACACGCATCCGTTAACGTCGTTAAACGCAACTGCTGACTCAGCAAAAAAAACTGTTGATTCAGTAAAAAACTGCCGACTCAACAAAAAAATATTATTAAATATCCAAGTATTCATCTACATGTATTTAAATTAATATATGCATATAAATTCACACATATAAATATATATATATATAATAAAATTATTTATAATTAATAAAACATATATACACATAACTACAATATATATATATATATATCATTACTAATGTATATATATTACAATAAAAATAATTATAATTAAATTATATACATACATAATATACATATTAAAATAAAAACAATTATAACTAACACATATACATATACATATACATATACATATATATTAGTTATATATATATTGTGTATATATAACTAATATATATACATATAAATATTATTTTTAATATATATTATATGTATATAAATTTCTATGCATATATTAATTTAAATACATATACATTTAGATGAATATTTGGATATTTAATAATATTTTTTTGCTGAGTCAGCAGTTTTTTTGCTGAGTCAACAGTTTTTTTTGCTGAGTTAGCAGTTTTTTGTTGAGTCAGCAGTTGTGTTTAATGACGTTAATGGATGTATATTTGATTTGGAAAAAATTTAAAAGTTTGGATATTTGTATGAGAGTTGTGAAAAATTCAGGTATTTCTATGACAATTTTATAGTTCGGGTATTTGTTTGGGATTTTTGTAAAAGTTCGGACATTTTTATGCGATTACTCCTTTTTTTTAACAATTTTCTACGTAAATATTGTTTTTTTATTAAATAAACCCGAATTCGGATACCCGTAAATACTTAAACATTGTTCCGGGTACTAGTAATCCGGATACCTGTAATCTTAGATACCCGAACCTTACGGATACAAATCCAAATACTCCGATATTCCTGAGTATTCGAATCACACTCACTCGTTTCTTTTTTTGGTTAAAGGTAAATTCTCACTCGTATTCTTGTTAACAAGAACATATATATATATATATATATATATATATATATATATATATGCATTGGACACAGAAGGGCTTACGCAAGTTTAAGGGAAGTGTCGGAGAAATCGTCGTCGAGAGGAGAAGCACTGCTGCTGCTGGAGACATTGGTCGTCACAGCTGATTCCAATGACATTCCTTCTTGTACTCCTGCTACCGTTTCCCCTTCCCTAAACGCAGCCGTTTTGCCTCTCTCTAACATCATCAGCTGTTGAAAAATACGTACACGCACACTTACACCAATGTATGTATATATTATATACAGATATGCATTGTCTTCTTGTTAAGGAACTCATGCAATGTATATGATTCTATAAAGGTTAAATAAATAAATAAAAAAAACAGTTTCACCCTCTGTCTCAGATTGTTGTTCTCTTCCTCCAACTCAGCTCCCTGCATTTTATCACTCGTCATCGACATATATATAATATATATAATATGTATAGTATATATATACATACTCTGCATGTAATATACATAAATAAGACGACAAATAAAAATCATAATTTATATACTTTTGCATGCTTACCCTCCTCTCAAGTGAAGAAATCTCGCCCATAACACGCTCTCCCTGAAGAACACAATGAAGCATATTAGTGTTTTAAAACAAGCCACATGTACATATATATACATGTATAATCTTAGTTATAAATTTCATATGCATAAATGGGTTTGAATTTGTAGTATTATTTCTTAATTATAACGAAGTTATTCAGGCATGTGGTCCGATCAATCAATCTTGAAACCCTATTATACCCTAAACAAAGATGATGAACTTTTTGTTTTCGGTAATCGAATGGTCTAAACTAATTTCGGGTCGAAGACCAACCATGTGATTTAGAATATACACTCCCTCCCTAAAGTTGAGGTTAGCGGGACATACATTTTACGCATCCGTTTCACCGATTGAACCACTCAAATTTGGGTAAAGATCTACTTGATAAACTTCCATACAAATAATATACTTCTTTGTACCCTAATATATATATTTAATGTTTTGATCGTACGAACTAATCCCGACCTTTTTCTCGCGAACTCGGCCGAGTCCGGATTCGACCAACTTCTCTAGCCGCTGCAAATCGTCCAAGCTCAGACCTTGAAGATCCTCTCCCCTCAGTTGACTGTTTTATATGAACGTGCAAAAGAGAAACCGATATATATATATATATGACTATATATAATACACGCACGTGCATGCAGACAACATCTGTATGTGAATCAATGTTACCGTAGCTGCCTGGTTTTGTCTTCAATGTCTTTGCTCAGTCTCGCCAGGTTGCTATTCTCCGGCTGCTGCAGGAAACAAAAGCTATTATATAGCATTTCACTAAGATTAGTCATAATAATATTATGTAATATTTAGATTTTGACGCTAATTCTTAGTTTCAATGGTTTCAGATTAGATCATCGAGTGGTTTATACTAGAGGGGTGTCAAACGAACCAAGTAGGCTCGATTTGGTTTGAATCGAAACGAGCTGGCTCGTTTTGAGATCTAAATAATCAGGTTTGTTTTCAAACGAGAAAAAAAAAAAATCTATGGCTCAACTTGACTCACTTACTTCGCGCGGCTCGCGAACTAGTTATAATATTATTATTTATATTATGAAAAAATATCAAATAAATGATAGTTTTAATTTTAAATATTAAAACATTAAACACAAATATGTAGTAAATAAAAAATTAAATTAAATATTAATTTTTATAAAATTCATAAAAAGATATAATTTTTTTTAAAACACATCAACTCGCGAGGCACAAGAGTTTGCGGCTGTGACAGGTGAATCAATAAGCTGGTTTAAAAACGAGTCTTCGAAATGCTAACTTAACTCGCCAAAATACGAACCGATAACGAACCATCTCGCGAGTTGAGCTCATTTTGACACCCCTAGTTTATACCGTAGATCATGGGTTTAATTGCAAGTATGTATAGGAATCTCATGCCTGCTATATATATACACATGAAATTTCACAATGATGACATATATAGAAGGTTATATCCACACATACTACATATGGACATACATATATATTAATATATATATGCGTGTACAAGGAATGAGAAGAAAAAAAAAACAAGGAATATTTAATTACCTGGAGGGCAAGAGGGGGATTAAGTTTGTTGAGATTACTGGCATGAAGATTATACCTTGCCAAGATGTCCCTCATTCTAACACACATTGACAAAATGCAAATTAATTCTATATGTCACACTATATATATATCTTATACGCTTATAACTCAAACAACGCATCCATTCATGCATGCATGCATGCATTGTGCAATCGATTGAATGAGATTAGCTATAAGCTGGCGATTATGTGATCTTCCATATCAAGATCTCGTATCTATGCGTCTGCTTTATCATACATACATACATACATACATATATATATATGTATATAAGATAAATATGTATTATTCTTTTGGGAAATTGAAGCGAGAGTTTCATATTAAGCATAGGTGCTTAGAGGTTCAAAACATGGGTAAACAATGTTATATAACTTCAAAGCTTATTATTATGAAGCTAATACTTCTCTAATTAACAATCGAACACACACACTCTCTGTATATATACATACACGTCTACACACAGATTTACAGCATTTTGATTCTGATGTCCTCATTGGATCATGTACGTATTCAAAACTATTTCAAGTGTCAATTAATATATAGTCCCCAAACGCAAGAACAAGTAACAAAGAAGCCATTGACATAATCGTAGTGAATTGACCAAGTTTTCAACATTAACCGAGGATCTTCTGAATTTGAATTTAAAAAATACACATAAACACAAACAGTCACAGTGAATTGACAAAGTTTTCAACTTTAACAGAGATTTTTTTTAAATACATTTAAACTTTAAGGCACACCCTCACAAACAAATCAGTATTTATGTACATATATATATATATATATGTGTGTGTGTGTGAAGTACCTTGAGCTAGAGAACTCGAAGAGCTTTCCGGTGGCGGAGAAGATGATGAGAGCGACTTCGGCGTCGCAGAGAACGGAGAGCTCTTCGGCCTTCTTGAAGATGCCTCTTCTTCTCTTCGAGAACGTCACTTGTCTCGCAGTCACGTTGTCTATCTTCTTTATCCTTATCTTCTCTCTCGCCATTTCCGCAGCTCTGATCTTCCAACAACGAACAACAAATCAAGAACAGAAAGAAGAAAGAGAAGCAACAACAGAGGCAACAAAGTTGTTATAAGCTCAAAGGGGTTTTGTGCTTGTCTGAAACCCTAGGTGAGAGAGAGAGAGAGTTCAAAATCAGATCCAAGATGAAAAAAGGTCCAAACTTTTGAATAAAAAAATCAAAACCAAGAAAAGGAAAAAGGATACATTTATGAACCCGCAAACGCTCCAGAAAAGAGAAATGAACAGATTCAAAGCAAAAACTAAAAGCAAATGTGTTGAGTTCTTTTTGCTCCATGGTTTAGAACGATTTGCTTACCTTATGAGACGTGGGAAACTAGATTAGTATTTGCAATCTCAACACCCAGTAGGTTGGAAGAGAAATGAAAGTGGGATTTGCCTTTTCCTGGTCTGGGGAGAGAGAGAGAGGAGAGAGATTTTTGTGTGTTCAAGAAAGGAAAGGTGAGGCTGCGTTTTTTAGGTAAACAGTGTCCCTCTATTTTTATCAAAGGGCCATGATTTTTTTTTGACATTTTGCCCGAAAGAAGCATTGAAGTATGACATGTGTTTTCTGTGTGTTTGTGTTCTGTTGTGTTTTGAGAGAGAGAGAGAGAGAGAGAGAGAGAGAGAGAGAGAGAGAGAGGGAATGGCGAGAATGACAGTTTACTCTTAAATTCACATTATATCAATTCATGATATGTATTTTGATATTAATTTACTCTTAAAAAGGTACATACTATTTAATTTTGTAATGTAACTGGTGAGGAGGAAAATGAACAAAATTAAGGAATTTTATGTGTGTGTTTCTCATTTCCAAAAAGAATACAATTAAAGTAAAAACATTAAATTTTCAATTCCACTTGGAAAACTCAGATAAAAAATATTACTATTGTTTTCTAGGTAGTTTATTGGGGTTTTTGGCTAAGTGTGACAAAAAGATGACATATTTTGCAAAGTGTGACAAAAATGTTGTGACCTTTGCAAAGTATACTTTTTTTTATAACTAAAATGCCCCTGAAGCGGGGGCGTCACGTCGAGAACAAAATGGAACCGCCATTTTGTTTATCTCTCCAAAATTCATTTTTGAAAACACGAAGAACAGTTAAGGTGAAGACGATTGTAGGGCGAAACACAAGAATCCCGGCGACACACGAATCCCGGCGACACTCGAATTCCGGCGACACACGAATTCCATAAAAAGTATGTTATTCGGTAATTTTAACGTGTTTGTGGTTATTGTGATTCGTGTCTCGCAACATAGTTAATGTTTTCCGAAAATATTGTTGTTTACTAACGTCTATGTCGCCTTTTCGAGAGAGGCTGTGGTTTGGTTGTACGTGAATGGGTTCCCAGTAAAGTACTCGTGGTGAAGATTTAAATATTGGTTACCGTAACGTATGACTTCCGTTCCCCACTGTAGTATCCGGACAGGTAGACTACGTTCCTTGGGCTGTGTTGAAGTATCCGGTTACTTCATGTTCGGGATACATTGTGTGCTCTTATAAGATTGGTAAGGGTTTATCCCCGGTCGTATATAGTCCGGGTATAAACCCGTAGGCTCGACCGTTCATATTATCCGGAATGTTAAATATATGTCGTGCATATTGCTTTTATGTCCGGTTATTCCATCCAGATGGTTATTCATATACATATTATCCGAATATCTGCATACATGTCCGGGATATTGCTTTGTATCCGGATGGTAATTCATCCGGATGGTTAATCATATACATATTATTCGGATATCTTCATACATGTCCGGTATATTGCTTTGTATCCGGTTTGTGATTGTTCAGTGTCCGGACAATATAGGGTGGTGTATTCTGTTGAAGTTTTGTTTAGTTTTAGACCTGATTTTTTTGTTGTGTATTGTATTGGACAGATTGCAATGGATGTTTTACAAGTAAAACGATACTTTCCTGCTGGAGAAGAACCAGACTTGAAGAAAAATATGAACGATGTATGCAAGTTTGGGAATTGCATGTCAGAGTTGAAAAGGAACATGAGTGAAGAAGAATGGGGTGGAATGAGGGCTTCTATCTTTGGATTTTTGTTCAGGCTATTTGACAATGGATTTTCCATATCCAAAGTTATGCTTCACCACATTCTAGCTCGACGGATCGTAATCACAAAGAAGTATGAGATGTGGTGTATGTTTGGGCGTCAACCTTTAAGGTTTTCTTTGTTGGAGTTCAGGGAACTCACAGGAATGCTCTGCCACAAGGATCCTGAGAACATAGTGATGGAGGGTGAGGACCAGGGACGTTTTGGTCAGCTTGCAAAGAAGAATGTTACTCTAAAGGACTTGTTGGACATGCTACCTGGAAGCATGGAAGGTTGGACTGCGGATGACAAAAGAAGGTTGCAGTATTTGGTGATTGTCTGTGGAATTCTAGTCCCTCAAGAGAAAAGGAGGCCAGTTGAAAAGAGTTATATGAAGTTGGTCAGCAACTTGGCTGAGTTTGAAGCAACCAACTGGGGCAGAAAGTCCTTCGTCCATCTACTGGAGTCAATTCACTTGCTTGATATGACACAGTTGACCAAAACAAATTACACGGTCCATGGATTTATTCTCGGCCTTCAACTCTGGGCGATGGAAACAATCTCCCCACTCGGCGACATGTTTTCAAAATATGAAGGGTCAATTCCACCACTTGGTGGTAAATGGGGTCTTTATTTCAAGAGAATTGATAACGACATGGTGACTTAGATAGAAAAGAGGTGTGGTATTCTACACTACATTCTCCCTCTTTCCAATCAATGTACTGAGTTTCAAGATGAGGTTGAGGACGCCACAGTCACCAAAATGTTGGAATTTCTTCCCAACAATCAATCATTGTTGATTGGGAGAAGCACATCCGATGATGTCCCAACAGAGGGGAGATGTCTTAGTGTTGAGGAGGCCTGCGTAAGTGTCTGTCTAATGTGTTCGAAGAGAGGTACAATTGGGTAATCTTTGGCTCCCTTCAGCACAGAATTCCACGATTCAACAATATTGCTCGTCATAATATTGTATCTGCATCCTTCGAAATATGCCCGGGACCACATCCTGACGTCTATTTCCTCCAAATATTTAGCAACTCCTTCATCAATCTTCCTCAAGTGATCAAACACTCTATCAAAATGACTTCTTGTAAATGCCAGTGCGGCTTCCTTGAACAAAGGTGTGACGCGCTTACACTTGAACTTGGTCATCAGGTTTTTCGACAAATGGTATGTACATACACCATGTTTGGCCGAAGGATACACTTTACGAATAGCCCTTGATATTGATGCGTGTCGATCTGAAATAAAGACCGTATCCGCTGTATCAGGGATGAAGGAACCAAGTTGACAGAAAAACCACTCCCATGATCTATCGTTCTCTCCATTTGCAATGCCAAATGGAAGTGGATAAATCTGTTCATTTCCATCCTGACAGATTGCGCTCAAAAGTGCACCTTTGAACTTGCCAGTCAAGAATGTACAATCAACTACAATCACTTTCCTCATCACACTAAATTCTGTCAAGCATGGTCCCAAAGCAAGGAATGCATATTTGAAGCTTCCATCATCATCTACCAAATACTCAGTTACAGTACCTGGATTTGCTTCTTTAATCAGTACAAGATACGACGGTAGTAATTTATAACTGTTTTTTGGACATCCTCTGACCATTTCGACAGCATTTTCTCTTGCTTTCCATGCCTGCCAATAACTCATTTTCAGTCCACGATCAACCCTCATTTCATTCACCACATCTTTGGCCTTCGGACACGTCGTCGTTCCTTGCAATTTTGCTGCCAACATATAACTTATGAATTTCGCAGACGGCGACCGACTAAGTTTGTTCCTATCATCGATATTGCATGTGTGCACGCAGACATGTTTACGAACACAGAAAAGTTTACTGCCCTTGTCTCTCACTACTCGTATCATCCATTCACAATCCTTAACAGGACATTGAGCCACAATTATGTCTGCCGACGATTTCGTTATTGATAACGCAAATCTAGGTGTATAAATAAGCTCAAGTAATAAAAATCCTAGATACAGCGAATACCGCAAGGGTACGGATCAACTGTAGTACCAGGGTCGAACACAGGGAATAGTTAACACTAAGAACAAAACTCGACTAAGAACCAGATCAGGAAATAACAGATGGAATAGATGAATACCGAAAATAAAGTAATAAATAAACTAAGTAAAATCAGATAGATAAACCACCGTAGCTTCGGGATAACCTTAACGCGCAGGGATTGTTTCTAAGGATGAAGAATCTACGAATATCGAGCTCTAAACAGGGATCTCAAGTTCTAATATCAGATTTGGCTCTCTCAAGTCCTAAATCTACTATCCAATAATCTAACCTATCGAT